TCTTTAAACATATATTTGATAGTATTTCCAGGTTGAATTTCAAGGCTATAACCAAGGGATGATTTTTGGAAAACTCCAAGGACCCGGAGTGATCCAAAAAAAAATTTGTTCTCTCTTCTTAAAGGAAATATTTTGAATTTTAGCCAATCTAATATACTTAAAATCACATGGAAAGCTTTAATCAAATAAAAATTAATAACTTTATTTTACTTACATACATATACTTTAAATGTTATGAAGGTTTTGGCTTCTAAGGAGGACAAAATAAAGTGACGGTATATTTCTTAGATAGAGCCAAATTTTTCAGCAGCAGAAATTTAAAAAGACAAGCCTCTGGCCGCCTGCATTTTGAGTGGGCTGGAGGTGGGGCAGCATTTGTACCTTGTGAGTTAAACGTATAAGTTTACTAAATTTGCTTGCTTTGCCTTTTTAATAAAGATATCTACTTTAATTACTTTATAAGTTAGCTTTTTAAATTATAATCAAGGTTTCATATAGTTTCAGCTAAATGGAAAGCCAATCCTATCTACACTAATAAAAGGGAAAGATGCAAATTGACCATACCCCTGAATGCTTCCCATTAGTTAATCAGCAGGATATGCAAATTAACTGCCAGCCAAGATGGCGGCCGGCAGCCAGGCAGCTGAAGCGCACATGAGGCTTGCTTACTCCAGTGATGGAGGAAGCCAAGGTTCCCCGCCTGCGAGCTCCGGATGCAACAATGTTGCCATTATAGAACCTAAACAAACCTCAGGTACCTGCTTTCAGCCAGCACGGCCTCAGAGCTTAGAGCGACCAGTGATGGCAACAGAGTTTCAGAGTTTCAATCTAAACAAACCCAGATACCTGCCTTCAGCCGGCAACGGCCTCAGAGCTGGAGCCAGCTCTCAGCTCCACAGCTCCAGATAGAAGGTAAATAAATCCAGAATAAAAAAAAAAAGAAAAAAGGAGAGGCTGGGAGCTTCAGTCACCCACCAGCTTGAAAATGGCCCTCAGCCCCTC